TCTCTCTCCTCTCCAAAATGTACAACCTCATGCTTTTTTTATTGACACTTCCCTTCCTCTATTGGCATGCACGTTAATAATAATGTAATAAATTAACTTATAAAGTCAATCTCCATCAGAGTTAGCGCAGCCACAGTTTGTCAAAAAGTAAGGGTAATCTGATTTCCTGTTTCAAGTCTTGCCTGCCTCGAGCCCCGTGGCCATTGTAGTGTAGATATATGTAGATCTTCCTCGGGAGAAAACATTTATCTGCCCGACAGTGACAAAGGTTTAAAGTCGCCACTAGAAACACATTAATCGTCTTAATCTGCCAATACGATTTATCGCTGGTAAGTTGTTCAGTAACTTTAGTATTTAGAAAAAGAGGACAATATCTTTAAACTATGGTGAGTTACAGAATTGGCCAATACGAATCGTCTGTTCTGAGTTGACTATGCTTCGTATTTTAAACTCTATAAACCAAGTTCTTTTTAATAAGGCAAGTAAATTTCGGTTGGTAATCGAATCCAGTATTAATTATTTTAATGGAATCATATCTAGTACGTATTTTAGAAGATAATCAATATAATTAATCGACACCATTGTCGATAAGTAAACCCGGAGGATGGTGTACCTAGATGTTAAATCAGACAATAAAGTTGTTATGGTAAACCTCGCTATAGACTCTAGTAGAGATATGAAACCGTGCTCTAATAAGAACACACAATGACTAAAGTCAAAAGCTGAGTCCCGATGGAACAACATCCGGCGGAAGAATTTTGCAACAACATCGGAGAATTTTGCACCAACATCGGAAGAATTTTGCAACAACATCGGGAGAATTTTGCAACAACATCGGAGAATTTCGCAACAACATCGGGAGAATTTTGCAACAACATCGGGAGAATTTTGCAACAACATCGGAGAATTTCGCAACAACATCGGGAGAATTTTGCAACAACATCGGAGAATTTTGCAACAACATCGGGAGAATTTTGCAACAACATCGGAAGAATTTTGCAACAACATCGGAAGAATTTTGCAACAACATCGGAGGGGGTTTGGTATTCAGCGCCTCCATGTTGCGTGCTGTTGTGTTAAACGGGGTATGATTTCCGTGCTGAATTGTATGGTCTTGATACGTTTGTCACAAAAACAACTGATATACACAATGAATTACACATTTTCAGTCTCTAATAGTGCGTAATATCTTAAGGACGTAATTAGCTTTTTATATCTCAAATGACGCACAACTATACAAAAGGTATTCATAAACAAACAATGTGCGTTTATATAGAATGCAAATTATTTCAAGTACATTCATTCATGTTCCGCAAAACTCAGCTGCCCTAAGAGTTACACCAACTTCCAAACAACTTACTTGTTTATAGTGCTGACGCATTACTAGTTTTTGAAAGCGATAGTCACTCGATATAGCTTTCGGAATCAGAATATATCCAAGAGAAGCTGTCAAGAGTCAATTGTGTAAATTTAAGGTAAGTATATAAAGAAAAGTTAACGTTGTTTTAATCTTAGGCCCAGGATGTCTTAGTTTGAAATTAAAAATGGACTCTTTAAGACTTAATGGAAAAAAAGAATTCCAGGCCCCTGCCTGAAACGATCAACTTTATCCATATAGATTGTACGTAGAATTAAATGAAATCTAAAAATTTTGCAAATAATGAAATTAATAGTCCTAATATGTATATATTTGTAAGTACAACAACTCCACACAAGAGGCATTTTTGTTACTGTTTCGTTTCGTAATAGATCTGTGCCACACATACAATTATTCTGACTCTCTAATAAGTGATACGTCTCATTATGAGAAACTAAATGCCAATGAAGATGCTTAATGGATCTACGAATTCGTTGTGTTTTAGCTTTTAATTATGCTCTGAATGGCATTTATCACTTTGCCAAAGGGTTTTGTAAACAACAACTAACAATTTTATATTCCTGTTTCAAGAAATTCCATAATTTCTCGGCATGGATTGTGGCATATCCGCTGTAAGAAAATCCAGCCTATAGCATAGTTATACATTAGGGGGAAAGAGCTTTTCCTTGCATGGACCCGCTTATTTTCCAAGAAGATGGAAACGCAGGAAAATCTCCTGATCTGGTGCACGCAAAAGATCAGGAACTCGTTTAAAAAGTTCACACATCCGGTCATTTTAAATTAGAAAGAAATTCAGACGTCCTGTCATTCTTAATTTAAAGCACATAAGTAGCTCTAAATCTTGTCTCCAAAACCCCCGACTTGAATTACTTCTGTATTTTTTGTAATTACTTCTGCATGCATTACTTCTGTATTCAAACTAGACTAGCATGTTCAGTTGAGCTTCGCGATGCTTTGCCTTAGCTGCCTGCAGCTAATACAGCATTGACTTTTTTAAAATATTTTGTCATTAGAATATAGTTATCCCAATTCCCACAGAAAATTGCTTTCAGGGAAAAATTTAATTACATTTTAGTGCAAGCATGGATCCCTCAAAGACGAAATTTCCTCGACTTTCTTCACCTGTCGCTGAAATAAAACCTCATTATGACGTGGTGGTCGTAGGCTCAGGATATGGAGGTTCTATCGCAGCGTGTCGGGCTGCAAGCGCTGGTAAATCAGTCTGCTTGTTAGAGAAAGGCAAAGAGTGGTCACCTGGCGAGTTTCCCGAGACCTTTTTGCATGCAGAACGTGATTTGCACATGCATTTTGGAAGTCACAAGTTTCATTCAGGTAAATACTGTCTCAATTTGTGTATTTGCATGCAACGTTTGTGGTCTTTAAAACCCCCAATTTTTTTCAGGCAAACCATACGGCTTGTATGAAGTATACGTGGGTGATCACGTAAGCGTCCTGCAAGGTTGCGGGCTCGGTGGTGGTTCTCTCATCAATGCAAATGTTGCTCTCGATGCTGAGCCTGCAGTGTACCAAGAACCACACTGGCCAGTGGAATTAATCAATGATGTTGAAACCTTGATGAAAACTGACCGAACGCACGTGGTTGATATGCTCAAACCTACACCCTACCCGGATTCCTATCCCCAATTGGCTAAAATTGAACGCATGCAAGAAGGATTTGCGGCGTTTGATATTGAAGACCTGCACAAGCATTTTTATAAGACGCCAATTTATGTGACGTTTGAGGATAAAGAAAAGAATCACGTCGGAGTCCCACAGCCTAAATGTACTGCGTGTGGAAATTGTTGTGGCGGATGTAATGTCGGAGCAAAGAATACATTGAATATGAATTACATCGCTGAAGCTAAAGCGTACGGAGCTGAGATTTATACAAAGGTACCGTATGTGTTCGCATTACTTAACGTAAGACAGCAGGCCTAGGATCGTTTGAATGTATTTAATCATTTGGTTAATTTCAATTTATTCATAACTGACACATTAAAACATTTTTTTCTCTTGGAAAAGACTCAGTGACTGAGAAGGTTTCTGGTAAATCACTACCTGTTCAGAAACTAGACCCAGTTTCGCATCGTTGGAAGTTGGAATCGAACGTGATTCATCAATCTTATTTTTATAGATAGAGGTGATGTCGATTGCGCGCGAATCAAACTCGAACGAATGGTTAGTTCATTACAAACGATTGGTGAAAGGAAGCTTTGAAGTGGCTGAGGAAATCATCCGGGCGAATCATGTGATCCTAGGAGCTGGGGCACTGGGATCCACTAAAGTCTTGCTTCGTTCAAAAGAACGTGGTTTAAATATTTCACACGCGATCGGGACACGATTCTCAACCAACGGCGACATACCTGCGTTCAGCTACGATGGAGCAAAGGAGACAAATTCCATTGGTGTTGAAACAAAAGATCTGATTGGTCCAAACAAGAAAGTAGCTCCAGGCCCCTGTATCACAACCGTGATGGATTTGAGAAAGAAAGGAGGAAAGCTGGAGGATAATTTTATCATTGAAGATGGGACACCACCTTCTTCCATAGCTGGTATATATTCTTTCGGCCTTACCGTGGCTGCAAAGGTAATTTGTCAAGGTTAATTGACAAAAGAATTGTCAATTACATATATATATATACTAATTTTTTTCTCGAATCTCTTCTTGCGAATGGTAAATAGCTCAGTTAAAAATTCAGATAGGAAAAATGTGTCAGTGTGACTAATCATGAGTTTTTGAAACTTCCATTTAAAGCCGTATAACGTTTTGAATAACACTTTGAATACCTAACACTTTTGAAACCTAAATAAAACATTTTCCAGGTGGCCGGATTCGGCATCAATCATGGAGCTATGGACAGGTCCTTGGCATTTCTTTGCATGAGTCACGATGATGCTCGTGGCAAAATCAACTACCATTCTAGGACGGATGACATTAGTGTCACTTACAAAGATGTTGGTAATGAAGCGAACTTCAAGATTGCCAATGAAGGGACCAAGAAAGTTGCAAAAGAATTGGGTGGTAAGTTTTTAAGAAGTCCCTTATGGAGCGAACAGCTTGGAAAAAGTATCATCACTGTTCACCCATTGGGCGGGTGTCCCATGGCAGAATCTGGTCAAACTGGTGTGGTCAATCATGCTGGACAGGTATTTGATGGTAAGTTTGATTTAAATGTCACCCAATGATGCAAATTGTTTATGTTCAAATTCTTGTTACTTTATGGTAGTTTCTCTCTGTTAAACGGAGTCTGATTCTGTTTTTCCGCTGTTCAGATTGTCATTATTGATTTCCTTGTTATTTTTTCTGCATTACTTCGTCATCTTTGTTCTTAGTTGATGAAATTGCTTGATTTAGGTGACTCAAAGGAAGTCTTAGAAGGTCTGTATGTAGTAGATGGTGCTGTTATTCCAACCTCTGTGGGAGTTAACCCAACCTTGACTATTTCGTGTGTCGCTGAACGGTGTATGCGACTCCTAGCTAAGAGAGAAAGATGGCACATCAATTATAATTTTAAACATCTTGGTGAGTTGTAATAAACATTTTGATGTAATCTGACCAGAATAAAAAACCAAAGCCATTTTTTCCCTTTTCATTAATACTTCTCATGGAACATCATTTTAGGTGAAAATGAGTTCGTTCAACAAAAGCCAGGAATTTGCTTCACCGAGAAAATGGTAGGGGAGTTTCAAGAAAATAAAAACCAAGATGAAAAAACATCGTGTGAATTTACTTTGACAATTGAGTCGAATGATGTTGAGGCGATGATAAAATTTGATCCAGATCATACTGCTGAGATCAGTGGGACAGTCACGTGTCCAGCTCTTTCATCATCGCCGCTATCAGTTTCAGAAGGTTAGAATTTTTTTTTTGGCGTCATTTGCCACCCCCTAAAGCAAAACTTGATTAAATTTGGTCATATAAGAAAGGAATTTTTATTTCAAATCATCATGAAAAGTTATGATTCTCTTCAATTCAAACGAAAACTGCCAAATATAACACTGAAGGTCATAATTATTATGATAATATTGAAGGTCATAATGGTTTTAGCCAGCCCCCCCTCCCCTTTTGAAAAAAAGGACCAATCGTTTCCATTAGGAATATGCTGTACTTACTTCTTGATGGTGAGTATATCACAACCGGGGCACAGAGAGATTTTGAGTCAAAATGCTCGTTATGGGTCTAAATTTCCCAGCAGAAATGGCACAAAAATAGCATGGCAAGCTCATATAATTTTGTCAACAATGCATCTGAAGGGTGAGAGGTTTGCGCAAAGTTATACATTTTTGGGATAGAACACTTTTAGGCAAAAGTCAAAAGGGATATAATATAATTGATATGATTGATTTTAGAGATTGATATGGTCGATTTAAGAGATTGTTATGATCGATTTTGTAAAGGCCGTCACACGCTGATATAAAGGCTGTGGTTTTTCTCTTTGCTAGGTCGCTTCCAACTTTTCAGTCCAGCTGAAAACGACACGAAAAAAAGTCCGTCGAAACAAATGATCTACAAAATGATTTTGAATGACCAGAGCAGCACTACCACCTACTCCTTCGATGGTGTCAAGCATATTCACAAAAATCATTTTTGGAATATTGGTCTTCATGACACCACTGTTCTCTTTGTTAAAGTTTACAGGGGAGCGAATTTCTCTGGTGAGATTATTGGTACCGCAAAACTGTATATTACCATTCCAAATTTTGCAAAGCAGCTGGCAACAATGGAGATCACCCACACTCAAAGTGTTCGTGAGAAAGCATATTGGCTTTCGAAATTTGGAAAGTTTTTTGCAAGGACGCTATGGGATGTATATGGACCTGGGGTTCGGGCACATAATATCGATTATGATGACGAGGATCAACCCCCAAGACAGAAAAGATCTCTGAAACTGAAAGGGTGTACACCTGTTGTTTACGAAGTTATGACAAAAGATGAGGTACTATAAACGATCGCTAAATATTAATTGTAACTTAATTGAAAGCCTAAAGTTCATCAGATGATGATCGCTTTCGATCCGGAGTTTCAACAATTTCACACGAGAAATATTTATGAACGTCATGCAAGTTTCTTTACTCACTAATCATCAATGAAAGTTGCTTTGTATTTTAGTTTCAGATTCTTGTGACTCGTTACCAAGGAGGCTCGAAAGGACCGGTCGTTATGTTTCATGGGGCAGGCGTGAGCAGTGAAATATTTTCATTGGATAGCATTGACACAAATCTTTTGGAATATTTACTGCAATTTGGGCAAGTATCTTTTTAAAAAAAACGATGTCACTTGCAGTTTCTTCTGTGTTTGGATTGATGTTATAAAATATTATATCATACATAATACACATTGCATATGGGCAACATATTAAATTGTGTTAATAATATTTATTAGATATGACGTTTGGTTGGTCGACTGGCGTACTTCATGTAACCTTCCATTAATGGTCGAAAAGAGATACACTCTAGATGACTGTGCAGCATATGATTATCCGGCGGCTATTGATAAAGTACTGGAAATTACTAAGAAGGTAATGGAGTGTGCGGAAGACCAAGTTCGTCCAGTAGACATTATAAGAGGGAGCTTAATTACTTAACTATTTTCTTTTTAGGCAAAACATTAAAAAATTTCTACAACAAATATTCCTATTTTTTGAAATTTCAAAATTCGATTCAAAATACCTCGAAATGGTTGAGAACTAACTAGAATAGCATTCTTTCATAAGCAAAAACATTTGAACACAAAAAATATTACTTTGGTGAATTTCAAAATTTTAGGCAAATCGATAAGGGGGGGACCAAAGAAATATTCTGATTTTCATCAATTTTTTGAAATTTCAAAATTCGATTCAAAATACCTCGAGATGGTTGAGAACTAAGTAGCATTGCATTCTTTCACAAAGCAAAAACATTTGAACACAAAAAATCATAATTTGGTGAATTTCAAAATTTTAGGCAAATCGGCAACCGGGGACCAAAGGAAAAATCTTCATTTTCGTCAATTTTTTGAAATTTCAAAATTGGGTTCAAAATACCTCGAAATAGTTGACAACTAACTAGCATTGCATTCTTTCACGTAACAAAAACATTTGAGCACAAAAAATCATACTTTGGTGAATTTCAAAATTTTAGGCAAATCGGCAACCGGGGACCAAAGGAAAAATCCTGATTTTCATCAATTTTTTGAAATTTCAAAATTGGGTTCAAAATACCTCGAAATAGTTGACAACTGACTAGCATTGCATTCTTTCACGTAACAAAAACATTTGAACACAAAAAATCATACTTTCGTGAATTTCAAAATTTTAGGCAAATCGGTAACGGGGGACCAAAGAAATATCCTGATTTTCATCAATTTTTTGAAATTTCTAAATTCGATTCAAAATACCTCGAAATGGTCGAGAACTAAGTAGAATTGCATTCTTTCACGAATTAAAAAAATTTGAACACATAAAATCACACTTTGGTGAATTTCAAAATTTTAGGTAAATCGGTAAGGGGAGACCAAAGGAAAAATCCTCATTTTCGTCAACTTTTTGAAATTTCAAAATTGGGTTCAAAATACCTCAAAATAGTTGACAACTAAGTAGCATTGCATTTTTTCTCGTAACAAAAACATTTGAGCACAAAAAAGCATAAGTGGAGAGCTAAGTAGAATTGTTTTCTTCAATACAGAGTTATTATGTAATATATAACAGAACATTACTCGATACAAATATAACAAAAATCAACCGTCGCAAATCATATTTATTTCTCTCTCTTCTAATTAACCCTTGTTAATTTCTTGTAGAAAACTGTCCAAATTGTAGCACACTGTGCAGGATCTCTCGTTCTTTTTGCGTCTCTTCTCTCAGGTGCTTTGGAAGGCAAAGTTAGAAATGTCGTCGCTAGTCAGGTGGCAGCAAATCCCATACCAGCACCATTCAATTCATACAAGTCTAGTTTGCGTTTGCCAGGATTTGCTCACTTTATCGGGTTGAATGGTTTGACCGTTGATACAAGTGCGCATGCGTCGTTCTTTGGTCGAATATTTAATGGTTTCTCGGGGGCAGTTGTTAATCATCTTGTCCTGCCAAGGAGTGAACGTTGTCAAAGCCGTGTTTGTCATAGGTAGGTAATATGGGTTGCGATCGAGGGGGAAAACGAACTTTTTTGGGATGTGAGGGTTCAGAGGAATGCCATCAAGGTCGCAAGTCGCGGTGTAAGTGAGATAAAATGTTGTATTTTTGATAGAATCACATTTATTTATGGTTTGCTATGGGAGCACGCGAATCTGACAGAGTTGACACATGGTACTTTGCACGAGTTCTTTGGCTACGTAACAACTTTGGTTAGTGCTCAATTGGCGTTGACAATGAGATGGCAAAAGTTGGTATCTTCTTCGGGAGAAGACATTTATCTGCCCGACAGTGACAAAGGTTTAAAGTCGCCACTATACAAGGAACATATTAATCGTCTCAATTTTCCAATACGCTTCATCGTAGGTAAGTTATTTAGGATTAATGTCGTTTTAAATTTGTAGTAGATAATGCTTCATCAATTGTAATGAAAATTAAGTACAAACCTAGCACAAAATTTAGCCTTGTTTTAAACGTTGTGTGTCACATATGCTGAATGCACTGAGAACAAAAAAACAACGCTTCTCAACTGACTTCTTATTGTTTCAACGCCACAGAGAAAAACTACATTTAAGACCAAAATTGCAGACCTCACGCACGTTCAATAATCAGTTAATATTCACCATAAAGAAAATGAAATTATTCAGTGCTCTTTATGGGTACGTATAAAATTATGAAAAAAAACGTTTTTGTGGACCAAACGAAATCATCTAAATTTTCTTATATAATACAATCGTATTTAAAAATTGTCATAAAAAATTGTTGAACATACACACACGTGCAATTGACAAAGATAACTTACATTATGAAACTTGTAATAAATGATTTTCCCGTTTGTAATGTACCAGGTCTTTTGTATTGCACTCTAGGTGAAAAGAACAGCTGTTACCTGCCTGAAAGTACACTAACTACATTAAACCTCGTTAAAGAAGCTCATCCGCACCAAAACTACTCCAGGATAACAATTCCTGATTACGGGCATCTTGATTGCATTTATGGAAAAGATGCAGTTCATGATGTATTTCCTCACATAAAGGAATCACTGGAACAGTATGCAGAAGATAACTGAAAAAACTCTGAACTACATAGTTTTTTTAAACATCATAAACCAAGTCCTTATTAAAATGAGACAAGTAAAATTAAATTTCTTTTACTAAATTTTGTAATTTGTTTTGTCATTGTAAAATAAATAAGTTGGTATTCGAATCCAACTTCAAAATTTTTTCAAATGTTTTTTCCAATCTTCAAATCTTTAAACTTTTTACAATATTACTGTTTCTTTTTCTAAAATTTTATATTTCCCAAATTTTTTCAACTTTTTCAAATGTTCAAACTTTTTGACAATAGCACTGTTTCTTTTTCAAATTTTCAATTGAAAGTTCAATTCAAAAAGTCGTCAAAATTGACCAAAATGGTAAGGCTAACCCCTTACCATTTTGGTAAATTTTCACGACTTTTACAACTGTTCAAAAACTGTCTTAAAATGCTAAAAATGGCTTCCTAAGACTAATATCTTTCATTTTAGAGCATATTTGGTTGCTTTTTGGAACATTGAAAATGTCGTCAATTTTGACAAAAATGGTAAGGATTACCCCTTACCATTTTGGTAAATTTTGACGACTTTTTCAACTGTTCAAAAACTCTCCTAAAATGCTAAAAATGGCTTCCTAAAACTAATATCTTTCATTTTAGAGCATATTTGGTTGCTTTTTGGAACATTGAAAATGTCGTCAATTTTGACAAAAATGGTAAGGCTTACCCTTACCATTTTGGTCAATTTTTATGACTTTTTAAATTGTTCAAAAAATGTCTTAAAATGCTAAAAATGAATTCCTAAGACTAATATCTTTCATTTTAGAGCATATTTGGTTGCTTTTTCGAACATTGAAATATTCGTCAACTTTGACCAAAATGGTAAGGCTTACCCCTTACTATTTTGGTCAATTTTGCAACTTTTTCAACTGTTCAAAAACTGTCTTAAAATGCTAAAAATGACTTCCTAACACTAATATCTTTCATTTTAGAGCATATTTGGTTGCTTTTTGCAACAATAAAAGATATTGATCTTATGAAGCCATTTTTAGTATTTTAGGAAAGTTTTTGAACAATTGAAAAAGTCGTCAAAATTGACCAAAATGGTAAGGGTTAACCCTTATTACCATTACCATATTAGCATTACCATTTTGGTCAAAATTGACCACTTTTTCAATTTTTCAAAAAGCAACCAAATATGCTCTAAAATGAAAGATATTGATCTTAGGAAGCGATTTTTAGTATTTTAAGAGACTTTTTGAACAATTGAAAAAGTCGTCAAAATTGACAAAAATGGTAAGGGGTAAGCCTTGATTGGATTGACCAAATTGACCACTTTTTCAATGTTCCAAAAACCCACCGAATATGCTCTAAAATGAAAGATTTTAGTCTTAGGAAGCCATTTTTAGCATTTTAAGACAGTTTTTGAAAAATTGAAATAGTCGTTAAAATTGACCAAAATTGTAAGGGGTAAGCCTTACCATTTTGGTCAAAACTGTCGACATTTTCAATGTTCAAAAAACCAACTAAAAATGCTCTAAAATGAAAGATATTGATCTTAGGAAGCAATTTTTTAGGAATTTAGGAGAGTTTTTGAACAATTGAAAAAGTCGTCAAATTTGACCAAAATGGTAAGGGGTAAGCCTTACCAATATGGTCAAAATTGATGACATTTTCAATGTTCAAAAAACCAACAAAATATGCTCTAAAATGAAAGATATTAATCTTAGGAAGCCATTTTTAGCACTTTAAGACAGTTTTTGAACAATTGAAAAAGTCGTCAAAATTGACCAAAATGGTAAGGGGTAATTACGCCTTACCATTTTGATCAAAATTGACAACTTTTTCCATGTTCCAAAAACTAACCAAATATGCTCTAAAACGAAGGATATTGATAATAGGAAGCAATTTTTTAGGATTTTAAGAGAGTTTTTGAACAATTGAAAAAGTCGTCAAAATTGACCAAAATGGTAAGGGGTAAGCCTTACCAATATGGTCAAAACTGTCGACATTTTCAATGTTCAAAAAACCAACCAAATATGCTCTAAAATGAAAGATATTAAACTTAGGAAGCAATTTTTAGCACTTTAAGACAGTTTTTGAACAATTGAAAAAGTCGTCAAAATTGACCAAAATGGTAAGGGGTAGGCCTTACCATTTTGATCAAAATTGACAACTTTTTCCATGTTCCAAAAACTAACCAAATATGCTCTAAAACAAAGGATATTGATCACAGGAAGCAATTTTTTAGGATTTTAAGAGAGTTTTTGAACAATTGAAAAAGTCGTCAAAATTGACCAAAATGGTAAGGGGTAAGCCTTACCAATATGGTCAAAACTGTCGACATTTTCAATTTCAAAAAACCAACCAAATATGCTCTAAAATGAAAGATATTAATCTTAGGAAGCAATTTTTAGCACTTTAAGACAGTTTTTGAACAATTGAAAAAGTCGTCAAAATTGACCAAAATGGTAGTAAGCCTTACCATTTTGATCAAAATTGACAACTTTTTCCATGTTCCAAACACTAACCAAATATGCTCTAAAACGAAGGATATTGATCATAGGAAGCAATTTTTTAGGATTTTAAGAGAGTTTTTGAACAATTGAAAAAGTCGTCAAAATTGACCAAAATGGTAAGGGCTAAGCCTTACCATTTTGGTCAAAATTGACGACATTTTCAATGTTCCAAAAACCAACCAAATATGCTCTAAAATGACAGATATTAGTCCTAGGAAGCCATTTTTAGCGTTTTAAGAGAGTTTTTGAATAATTGAAAAAGTCGTCAAAATTGACCAAAATGGTAAGGGGGGTAAGCATTACCATTTTGGTACAAAATTGACCACTTTTTCAATGTTCCAAAAACCAACCGAATATGCTCTAAAATGAAAGATATTAGTCTTAGAAAGCCATTTTTAGCATTTTAAGACAGTTTTTGAACACTTGAAAAAGTCGTCAAAATTGAACAAAATGGTAAGGGGTAAGCCTTACATATTTTGTCAAAATTGACGACTTTTTCAGTGTTCCAAAAACCAACCAAATATGCCCTAAAATGAAAGATATTAGTCTTAGGAAGCCATTTTTAGCATTTAAGACAGTTTTTGAACAATTGAAAAGTCGTCAAAGTTGACCAAAATGGTAAGGGATAAGCCTTACCATTTTGGTCAAAATTGACGACTTTTTCAATGTTCCAAAAACCAATTAAATATGCTTTAAAATGAAAGATTTTAGTCTTAGGAAGCCATTTTTAGCATTTTAAGAGAGTTTTTGAAAAGTTGAAAATGTCGTTAAAATTGACCAAAATGGTAAGGTGTATGCTTACCATTTTGGTCAAAATTGTCGACATTTTGAATGTTCAAAAAACCAACCAAATATGCTCTAAAATGAAAGATATTGATCTTATGAAGCCATTTTTAGTATTTTAGGAGAGTTTTTGAACAATTGAAAAAGTTGTCAAAATTGACCAAAATGATAAGGGCTAAGCCTTACCATTTTGGTCAAAATTGACCACTTTTTCAATGTTCCAAAAACCAACCAAATATGCCCTAAAATGAAAGATTTTAGTCTTAGGAAGCCATTTTTAGCATTTTAAGAGAGTTTTTGAAAAGTTGAAAATGTCGTTAAAATTGACCAAAATGGTAAGGTGTAAGCTTACCATTTTGGTCAAAATTGTCGACATTTTGAATGTTCAAAAAACCAACCAAATATGCTCTAAAATGAAACATATTGATCTTATGAAGCCATTTTTAGTATTTTAGGAGAGTTTTTGAACAATTGAAAAAGTTGTCAAAATTGACCAAAATGGTAAGGGCTAAGCCTTACCATTTTGGTCAAAATTGACGACATTTTCAATGTTCCAAAAACCAACCAAATATGCTCTAAAATGACAGATATTAGTCCTAGGAAGCCATTTTTAGCGTTTTAAGAGAGTTTTTGAATAATTGAAAAAGTCGTCAAAATTGACCAAAATGGTAAGGGGGGTAAGCATTACCATTTTGGTCAAAATTGACCACTTTTTCAATGTTCCAAAAACCAACCGAATATGCTCTAAAATGAAAGATATTAGTCTTAGAAAGCCATTTTTAGCATTTTAAGACAGTTTTTGAAGACTTGAAAAAGTCGTTAAAATTGACCAAAATGGTAAGGGGTAAGCCTTACCATTTTGTCAAAATTGTCGACATTTTGAATGTTCAAAAAACCAACCAAACATGCTCTAAAATGAAAGATATTGATCTTATGAAGCCATTTTTAGTATTTTAGGAGAGTTTTTAACAATTGAAAAAGTTGTCAAAATTGACCAAAATGATAAGGGCTAAGCCTTACCATTTTGGTCAAAATTGACGACATTTTGAATGTTCAAAAAACCAACCAAATATGCTCTAAAATGAAAGATATTGATCTTATGAAGCCATTTTTAGTATTTTAGGAGAGTTTTTGAACAATTGAAAAAGTTGTCAAAATTGACCAAAATGGTAAGGGCTAAGCCTTACCATTTTGGTCAAAATTGACGACATTTTCAATGTTCCAAAAACACACCAAATATGCTCTAAAATGACAGATATTAGTCCTAGGAAGCCATTTTTAGCGTTTTAAGAGAGTTTTTGAATAATTGAAAAAGTCGTCAAAATTGACCAAAATGGTAAGGGGGGTAAGCATTACCATTTTGGTCAAAATTGACCACTTTTTCAATGTTCCAAAAACCAACCGAATATGCTCTAAAATGAAAGATATTAGTCTTAGAAAGCCATTTTTAGCATTTTAAGACAGTTTTTGAACACTTGAAAAAGTCGTCAAAATTGAACAAAATGGTAAGGGGTAAGCCTTACATATTTTGTCAAAATTGACGACTTTTTCAGTGTTCCAAAAACCAACCAAATATGCCCTAAAATGAAAGATATTAGTCTTAGGGAGCCATTTTTAGCATTTAAGACAGTTTTTGAACAATTGAAAAGTCGTCAAAATTGACCAAAATGGTAAGGGATAAGCCTTACCGTTTTGGTCAAATTGACGACTTTTTCAATGTTCCAAAAACCAATTAAATATGCTTTAAAATGAAAGATTTTAGTCTTAGGAAGCCATTTTTAGCATTTTAAGAGAG